ACTTGTACAAGGGGAGCTTCATGCATGACAGCAAGTGGCTGCTGCTCACACGACGGGAGCTTCATGTGCAAGCGCAAGACAGCCGCTACTTGTATGAGGGAAGCATCGCATGCATGTGCTTGCCCATCGCCTGCACATCCCAATTCCAAACAGGCCGTGACCTGGTAGTGGGCCACAGCCTGGGAGTTGGGGATCCCTGTTCTAAATGCTCAATATATGTTTGACTTGAATAACTTATTCTTTTTACTGTTTTTTATCTAAATACTGTATCCATATATTACTAAAACTTCTGTGTTTGCCTGATAATTTGTTATCTTCAATGGAGTGAAATGCTGCATCATAGGGAAAACTTTGTCAATAAAGGTACCTCAAATGGGCTAACATTCAGAATGATGATGGGAATTTTATTACACTTCAGCATAGCTATGCTGCTCAGCACTGCCAACACACTGCTGCTATCAACTGTGGTAGAAGCTGATGGCAAACCGAAAATTCTGCTGGGTCACCTTCTCTTATGGACTCAGATTGGACTCAAGGTAGTCTTCAATTTTCTTTATTTTGTTTAGTGATAGTTTGAAGTTGCCGTGGCACTGAAAAAAGTGACTTATGACTAGTTCTTGAACTGTTCCAGCATCCCCTTGGTCACCTGATCGAAATTTAAGTGCTTGTCAATCGGTATGTATTTATAACAATTGCCGTATCCCAGGTCACATAATAACCATTTGTGACCTTCCCAGCTAGCTTTCAACAAGCAAAGTCCATGGAGAGAAGCAAGAATTGTTTAACAACCATGTAAAGAACTACAATGATTTGTGTAACAACCATTACAAAAGAAGTCATAAAATTGGGCATAACTCACTTATCAACCACCTTGCTTAGAAATTGTAAATTCTGCTCTCAGTTGTGCTCATAAGTTGAGGAGTACCTGTAATGCATCCCAGGTCAACCCCTCATCTCCGATTAAATCACAAATGAGGAAATCCTTATTACAGGTCAGGAATGCATTTAACAGCAGCAGCTGAAAACTCTATCATATTTGCCTCAATGTATCCTTTCTCTAAGCTAGAGAGCCCCAATTGTTTGTACCTATTCCTATAAAAACTTAATCCAACTAATCAACTCATTTGGGGTTTTTTTCTGCTTCTTTTTTAGCTTTGCTCTGGGCTTGACCTAACCCTCTATTTGTTTGAATCTAAGTAATTTAGGTTCGTTTAAGCTATTGGACTGGTTTGGCACTATCCATGTCTAATGTTGCATACACAAAAATGCATAGTTTTATTCTGTACAATTTCAGCATCCAGTACTCAGAATCTTCTGGTATATTCTGGGTTGAAAAGATCCATTCAGTCAACATTCTTCATGTGACCAGCCTGGATCGTTTCATTGCAGGATGATGATTGCTTTGTTGAAGTTTAGGTAATATAGTTTACCATTCTGGTCCAATTGCAGTTGGCATATAAATGTTGTTTGACTTCCCGGTCCAAGTAGAGAGTAATTATTCACATTATTCTATCTTATTTGGGGAGTACAGTAAAATGACTAAAGAATGTCAAGGAATAACTTACCTATGCCCTTGAACAAGTGTTAAACATGTTTCATCACATAAGCAATAACTTTTTTAAAATACCAACACTCTTAGAGTGACCGTTGTTAAGTCAAGAAGTTTGATGCAATGGATTAATCTCAATAGTGCTTGTAATTTGGAGGATCTGATATTCCTTCATGCAGCTTTTTTTCTTTCTTCAACCACACAAATGTCCTGTTTCTTAAGCATATTCTTCTTGAAAAAAGACAGAATTACAGTCTAAAAGAAAGCTGTAACTTTATGTTGGCTAAATTGCTTTGCTGCCGACTATTAAAATTAGTGAATAAATAAAATTAGCATGGCTTATATCTTTTTATCCTTGTGACAGGGAAGCATGACGAAAACAGAATCAGGTGACTTTATTATGCTGCATCTGATAATTTAACAAAGGCTAAATAAAATCGGTGAATCATTATATTTTTCACTTTCATTCATTTTGCTTAATTATGTTTTCAGTCAAGTAGGCAGTGCTTATGTCTTAACTTACATGAGCTAATAAAAAAGTAGCTGAATATCTTATTTTCCAGGTGTGTATTGCTATGATGTGGATATTGGATAATGTGTATGTAATGCCTTCACCTTGGATGCCATTTTTATCATCTTCTTTGTTAGTTTCATTTTCAGATCATTGTATGTATCCCAAATGACTGACTTTGTTAGAGACATCTCTTGCCATCAGATTTATAAACAAAAAATAAAATCACACACAAGGAGAGGAATGCAGGTAAACAGAAAATAAGGGTGATAATACCAATAGCAAGTGAGAGGATGAACAGCATAGAGAGATGGCACATTTGTGTGGCACAAAAGTTCCACAGGTGTACTACATCAATGAACCACCTGGAAGTCTTGATTAAGAGATGTGTGCTATGTAGTGAAAAAAGGTTGAGAACCATTTATATATGGTGTTCAAGTTTTGCCAAGGTCAAAAACTAAGCTGAAGATAGTGTTATCTCTTAAGAACTGGATCAGTTGAACCTTCTGCAGCATAGAATTTTACTGCCTGGATAACACCACTGATAACTCCATAATGGAATAGAGCCAGGGAGGACACTCAACCAAACAAGCAAGAAAAGCTTTGGGATGTAGGTTACCTAGTTCCTGGAATCAATAAGCAATATACCAATATTAGATATCATAATTATGCAGTCAATTTGGATAGATAGGTAGACAGGCAGGTCTTTAATAAGAAAGGGAAAAGGATCTATTGGTGGAGAGCCTTGAGTGTCAGACCTGACCCAATCCAATCCCTTAGGAAAGAAAGACCCTTGACTCCATTTGGGTAAAGCAAATGGTTCTTTTACTAAAGGTGTTGGTTGCAGTAAAGTAAAGCCACGCACACAAGATACAAAAAAAGGTTCACCCATAGCTCATCCCTCCTCCCCCCCTGAGCAGTCCATTTCCAGGCAGCTGGAGCTCACCAGGATGTTTTGAGAATGCTGAGATGTTTAGGGTTAATCCACATATTTCTCAGGGTGCTTGGCCTTGGAATGTTGGTATGAACAGGATCCAGCTGCTCTGGTCTTTATCACTTGTCATTCCCCATTCCTGATTTCCCATCATGTATGCACACAGCTTTATTGCCCTTTCATCCTCCACCCCCTTCCAGCCTTTGCTGGCAGAGGCCTGTGAAGTGCCAAGGTGAATCAGGCAGAGCTGACATAGACGACAATAATGGAAGAGTTGCTAGCTTGAAGGAAACCTCAATCCCAAGGTTGGAGAAGGCTCAGAGGGAAGACTGATAATTTGAGAAACCACAAAAACCCACTATAGACAAACTTATTGGGTTTTCATATTTAAACAAAACAGCTTGGGAAAGAAGCTGTTGAATGAGATATTACTAGATGAGGAAAATATTCTTTTTCAATTTAAACTCTGCCCAAAGAAACATTAAAATTATTTATCTTGGTAAAGATCAGGTGGTTCATTATCCCAGGAATACATTTCCCTAGAGTCAGAACTTTAATAATAATTCATGTGGACATTTTTTTCATTACTTCCCCTTCATTCCCACTACAGGAGCATGTGATTCTTGAAGGAACGTTTCTGCTGGTCAGTAGTTAATAGAAGAAACATCTGGAGGAGATTGAAGCACAGTTTTAGACTAATCAATCTTATATTAAAATGATATAAATCTTTGTGAGTTGCTGCTCTTAAAACCAATGAACCAACAGAGCTACCAGACTTCTAATTTTTTTGGCTAACTTAACCCTTTTTGTTTTCAACAGGGACAAGAACAGAAACTGATGAGATAGGAGGTGGCATGAACAATCAGTCAGTTCTATCCCTTTCTGTATAAACCAGACATGTCAAACTCGCGACGGCACGTGACGTCGTGCAACATATTGGAGCTTTTTCCCCATTGCTGGCAATGGGGTGGGCACAGTTTCCTCGTGACATGTCTGGCCCGCGGGCTGGCAGTTTGACACCCCTGGTATAGACTAATAGTTGTTGATGGTAACACGAATACTGGATCACCAATACAAAAAAAAAAGGATACAATATCTGTTTATATTGATCCAAATCTTAGCAGAGTTTATATGTGCTACATGAATATGGGAAGTGTAGAAAAGACTTCAACAACAGAGGTTGTTCTTTTTAGCCCTTCCTCCACATTGCCCACTCAAGTGCAGTAAAATAATGCCTTTTTCAGTGATTGTGAAACCCTGTTGAATATGAATAGACTTTAGCTTTTGTCAAGTTCCATCATCATGCATAAAAATAATAACACTTTTCTAACAACGAAAGGGTTCTGTAATGGCAGACCTCCTGGATGACTTCTTGAGATGGCTTGTGTTGATAAAGAAGCTTGTGTGAATAATGGACTGAAAATAAAATATAATCCTGTAGGGGAATTGAGGGCAAGACCAGCAAATAATTAATTTGCTGCATTGTGTCCAGAAAGTTTCTAAAGTAATGCAATAATAACTTGACATTAAAATTACATTACTGATATAATCCTTTGGTTGCAAGGTGACTTGAACGATAGGATAAATCGCCATAACTAAGAGTTGCCATTCAGTAGGAAAGTGAAGAATTAGAGAGAATTGCAAAGAGTTGGACTAAAAGAAGAAATAAAAACAACAACAACAAGAAACAGAAAGTCCCTCTGTTAAAAAAAAATCAAAGATGTATAAAGAAAGGTTTGCGTTGCTTGTATCTTTGAGATTCACCACCTAGTGCATTTCCAATTCAGCTGAGATGTGGACTAGAAAAATATTGAGAACTATTTTTATGTAACTTGTTTCTTTACATCAAATACTGGTTAGAGGGGACCTATTCGCCCAGTTGCTGTTGCCGGTGTTTTGCTGAGATTATCCCCAGCCTTCCCTACCATCTCTGAGATTTGTGAGTCTTTGAAATTACAAGACAGAATGGTGGAAGAGGTAAAATTATTATGACAATGCTCAAGTTCTTGGTAACATAGATTTGATTTATTATTATATAGATGCTCTGACATTTGGAAAACAGCAACATTCTCTTTGATATTCTTAATTGAAAGGATTTATTTAATCCAATAAGCAGATTTACACTTACATCTAGGCATTCCTGTTCACCTCTCATTTATACAGTCTTCTAAATTTGTTTCTCACTGAAGCCTACCAGAGAAATTCTGCATTTCTGGAAAACCTCTTATTTGTAGATTTCACATGAGTTTAAACTCTTTGAAATTAGTCTTCCAATGATCATACTGGCCTGAAGAGGTCTTGCTGGAAGCAAATGTTGTTATATACAATGCAGTTTTCACATATACATGCAACATATACAGAACTGCAGTCAGAAGGAGGCACATCTGTAACTACATATGGCATTTGGCTCGGGCACCATGCCTTGGAATGACCAGTTGAAATTTCACTACTACCCCATCTGGGCTGGGAAGGTCCAATGTATACTTTGGGCAGTGACAGATTAGCCCCGCCTAATGAGATTCAGTTGTTTGAGACTACCAACGTTACTTTGGCAAAGGGATTGGGATGCCTTCTTCATTTCAGCAAAATAAATCACATTGTCTCCATCATCTGATTCAATTAATTAAAGCAAACTTAAATCAATTCACACAGGTCCAATGACAATACATGGCTATGCTCCTGCTCTTAACATGCTGACTTACATCCTATAGTACTTTGGAATTTTGGTAACTGTTTCCCACCTGGTGCAATTACTAATTTCATCACAATAACTGTGATTACTATGTTGGATGTGGGGATGGGAAAACATTAATGAGTTCTTGCAGTACCTTTTTCCAGGTAATCTCTCTCTCTCTCTCTCTCTCTCTCTCTCTCTCTGTGTGTGTGTGTGTGTGTGTGTGTGTGTATGCAATTGAGTGAAACTTTCAAAGAGTCATATTGAGCCTTCTTTGGACATGGCTTCCATAAAGCTTTAAGGAGAGGTTACCACTATGCTTTGCAAAGTTGCCCTTTCAAATGCTTTCCATACTGGTGGTCTACTCACTGTTGTAACATTGCCTAATGCATATTTTAAGGCAGTATTGCATAAGAAAAGCCTTTCTTTAAGTACACATCTCTTGTCAAACATAAGGAGCCCCACCTTTTCTTTGCTATGTAGATCTGTTGTTTTGAGTAAAACCTTTGAGGTGAGAAAAATGAATACTGGTAGGCTATGTATCACTATTGACCATGCCATGTCAACCCCCCTCCCGATCATTGACTTTAAAAGAACTGTGTGGGACACAGGGAATCCCCTTCCCATCCCATGTGGACAATGAATGATTAGTATGCACCACCACTTACAGGGCAGGGTTAGACAATGTTTCTCAACCTTGGCAACTTTAAGATAGGTGGACTTCAATTCCCAGAATTCCTCAGCCAGCATGGCTTGCTGGGGAATTCTGGGAGTTGAAGTCCACCCATCTTACACTTATCATGACTGAGGGATTCTGAGCTAGTAGATGTCTGCGAGCCTTCCATCTAAACTTTCAGCTAGCAAAATTGCTGTATGTCTTCTCTTTATGATCAGAACTAAAGAACTACACACATTGCTATTTTTTTTAACTTAGCTCCTTTCAAAGTGGGACACGATATTCTGGCCAAGGTAAAACCTTTTTTAAACACTCTAATGGGCTGTACTCTCTTTAAATGTCAATAAGTGAAATTATTTCATTTCCAAGCATTAGATATGAAATGAAGAGTCAATCTTCTAACAGCAACAGCAACAAAAAGCTTTTCACCTTGGATTCATTTTTCCCTCTTTCAAGCTTTAGTTGTTTGCCCTAAAGAGTCCTGGGCACCTTTAGAAGCCTTATTTGTTACACAATAAACCAGTCTGTCTTGTACAGATATGCAGTTTTGTACACAATATAGTGTGCCTGAGTGCACATTTAAGTACAATACCTATACCAGAGAGAAAATAATTGATTTAAGAGAGATGACAGCTCAGTAGTACATTTCATACTCTCACAATATAGCAATTTTTCGAAAGCCTCTTGTTTTCTGTTCCCTTCCACAGAGCTGCTCATCTTGGCTTTCAATTTACCTTAAGCATCTAAAACAGCAAGGGACATTTCTGAACACCCTGGAGTATTCATCCTGGATCTGAAATGAAAAGATAGCATGAGCACCTTGGTTTACTAACAGGTAAATGTATATGTTTTAAGCATCTTCTACCAAATGTGGCTTACTCTGTTAGAAGAGAATTTGGCCCTGCAGAGAATTAGAAAAGATGCTGATGAGATTTTGACAATGTAAGTTGTTGAACATTACACAAAAAGTTTCAGTCCAGAATCAAATGACTCTAGTTAGTGAACCTCTTTAATTATTTCATAGGATTACTGATGTATAATCTGAAATGCCTTCTGAAATCCCAGATCTGTATTACATAAATCAGATTTCAAAGTCTTAATACATGACTGTGAATTATGCATGTGCATAAATTATTTTATTCAAGCAGGGTGGCAATTCTGCTACTTTCTCTTAATAGAATCCTTGATGTCTGGATCAACTGCAGTGTCTCATTTGAGATAAAATGTGTTCAGTTATTTTCCCACCTGTCAAGGAAAGGGAGGTGGGGATGAAGGGACTACACCACCTTATGAGAAAACTATTCACCAAGTCTCTGGAAGACTGAATGTCTTGCCTGGATTGGTCATGCAGGTGGGGGAGAAGATGGCTGCTAAAGAGATGTTCCAACCCTGTTTCCTTTTGTTTGTGGGAGTGCATTGAAAGAAGCAAGAGGGGAACAGATTATTAGAGCCTCTCAGATAGAAGCCGTGGGATTGGACAGCCAGCAGCATCAGACCTGCTCTCTTATTCTCCTCCTACTTCTTCTCTTTGTCATGAGTGGCGGAGAGAAATGGCACTTTTAGTGCCACTTTTCCAATTTGAAGAAGTAATGCTTGCATAGGATTAGAAAACTGACAGCAGAAGACTGCTCTGATGCCATGTAACTAATTCCTAGAATGATAATTTAATGACAGTTCAACCCCATGGGTCATCTCTTGCCAGTAATTGTTACCCAAAGAGGCTTTCCCCACTCTTTATCCTTCCCCTTCATTTTTCTTGTGCCAACACAGAAAAGGAATAGCACAAATTAAACCAGGGTACTGTCTTACCATCTTATCAACTATACGTTTCAGCTTAACATTTGCAGTCTGGATATACATTAATATTTCCAAACAGAGATTGAGGTAACTGAGTCCGTTTAACCTTCAGAAAAAATGATTGAGTGGATATGCTAGCACTTTTCAAGTATCTGAAGAGGCATCAAATACGTTCCCCTATCACAGATTGCAAATTATGGAATAAGGGCCTTAAGTAATAGATGGGTAGACATTGATTGAATGTTAGGCAAAATTTTCTGTAAGGAAGAGCAGTTTGATAATTGAACAGTTACTTGTGAATATGACAGGATATATATTTCTTTGGGATATTTTAATTTAGATTACTGCACTGAGCAGATCATCCTGCATAAGAGGTTGAAAACCATATAAATGATGAAATGAACATAATTACCAGTATTGCCCTTATTCTATGGGTGGTCAAACAGTGCAGTGCAGCCATTGGAGAAGTTTTACTAGTTTGATCTGCCATTTGAGTGCCAGGACCACTACTTGGAAAATGCAAGTAGGAGCTTCAGGGAAGATTCTTTTATCGAGACTGGGGCTTGGGTGACTAATCACCCAAACTTTCCAAGAGCCAATTTTATTCAAGCTCTTCTGAAACAGCTCTGGCTTTCAAGTAGCTGCTATTTACAGGAAGGAAGGGAGGAAGGGAGGAAGGGAGGAAGGGAGGAAGGGAGGAAGGGAAGATGGAAGACAGGGAGTGAGTGAGTGACTAAGTGAGTGAGTGACTAAGTAAGTACGTAAGCAAGTAATATATTGACAGAAAGACAGGGAAGGAGGGAGGGACAGAAGGAAGGATAGAAGGAAGGAAGGAAGGAAGGAAGGAAGGAAGGAAGGAAGGAAGGAAGGAAGGAAAGAAGGAGAAGAATATTTTAAGGATAATTTTGTATAAATGCATGTCATGGTCTATTTATATACACTGAAAAAACCCTTACTTTTCGTGACAGCACACAAAGAAATATAAAGATGAACAGTCCCTGAAATGCATTGAAAATTGTGAAAAGATATGCCGTGACCACTGATCCCTGGATGACATGAAGCACGCCAAAAATCCACGTAGCCCCCAGGAGAAAAAGGAGAGAAAGTGCTCCTCGGGCACAGGATCTAGGGAGAAAGAGAAAGAAGAGCTGTTAGCCCCGTTTCTCTTTCTAGTTCCTTCCCTTTAATGTGAGTCCCTGACAAACCCTTGAGTTTTGCCTTGCAGTGACATGGCTTCTGCTTTAGGGTGTGCTGCAGTACTGTGGCTGGAATAAAGTTCCTCTTTTGTTTTCTGAGCAGAGTCACCAACAAAAGTGGAAACGCTGATGGCTTTTAAACACTGGCTGTCTTAATCTTCAAATCTGTTTTCTCTAGTGTGCTGCAGAACCATATGATTTAATTTTAAATCTACTGTTGGTGCAATTCCCCAAGGTAAAATATATGTCTGTTATGAAGTATACCCCCTAAGAAACCTTGGGAAAAAAAATGTATGGTAGGCTCTGAGGTCAGCATATGTGCCAGGCATCAGAGAGAACTTTTGGGCTGTTTTTCAGCTTCAGCCTCAGAGATAGTGCTAGCTTGTTCAAAACACAGACTTTCTCCTTATTCTGAAACAATTTTGCTTTCACGATGCAAAGGAGATTTAAATTGTTGCAGGGTCAAGATATTGACTTCCCAACAACTCACAGATCTGTTTCCTGATATTTTTTTTTCTCTCCTTTTACGTTAACACATTGTAATATAAGTTTCTCCAGCTTTGTTCATGGGCTGAGACAAATTACACAATGCGCTTTTGCATATGGACTCAGTCATTAATTTTCTGTTTCATTTGCAGCACAGCGGTTTTGATCTCCCTTTGCATGAGAAAGCCCCCCCCTCTCTCTCTCATACACACACACACACACACACACACACACACACAAATCTCCCACCCCCATCACCTCTCTTTTCATGCTGCTTCCTTAGACATGTATTTGACTCCATGAGACTTAGCCCTCTGTGAGAGCTGATCAGGTGGAGAAGGGGAGCAAAGTGATCAATCAAAGAGCTGCTAAATCCTACCTATAAATCTAGTGCAATGACTTGAAACAATGTGAATGTTTCCAAGCAACAAAAACAGTAAGTTGCTTTCAATGGTCCCTATAGCACATTCCAGCTTTTTCCAGCACAAATACTTTTCAAGGTCTCTATAAATCAGTTTTAAAGAAAACAGATTGATGGAAAAATCATAGCAGCCCATGAAATAAAATTGGTTTTAAAAAAAAGAATAACAATAAAACGCAAACCCTGGTGAAGGAGGAAATAAAAATGGAACACCTATTTCTATAATCTCTCTGGAAATAGAGTGAAACATCAAAAGCCCTACTGAGAGTTTAGAACAAGAGAGCTAAACATATGTTTGGCTCCCCTTACTAAAAGTTCTCATCTCTGGATTCTTATGCGATATGAAAGCTTTAATCTGGCTTTCAACAGTAAGATTTAATCTCAGATTTAGTTTCTTTCCCATATATAACATTGGTTGTAAAAAACAAAACCTCCCAAAGCTTTAAATCTGAAGGATGATCTAGAGCAGGGGTGTCAAAATGCTGGCCCACAGTTTGCATCATATGGAGGCTGCACCCACCCCAGCTCTGGCAATGCAAAAAATAAGTCGTGATACGTCGTGACATGTCACTTGATGCGTCAAGTTTGACACCTGTGATCTAGAGGGACCATCTTCCCAGCCAACAGCTGCAGAACCAGAATACTTAGCAACCAAAGTTTCTCATTTGAGAACCTTAACACACCTTAAAAATATTGATATAATAAGAAATAATGTTTTTGCAAATGTGAGGAAGTCCTTTTTGTTTCCCTCTTATTTTGTTCCCAAGAGATCCTTATATAAGAACATCAATATTCTTTTGTAAACAAAAGCATCCTGTGAAATTTAGGCATTGGTCATCAAAATAAATACTTTAATGCAATACAGTGTCTTTTCTTATTACATTAAGAAACTGAAAATGCTTCAAAGATTTGTAGTTAACTAAGACTAACATTGTTAGGTAACACTTTAAAACACGTTGCCAAAGAATTCTCTGAAAGATGTATCTTACCTTATATTTTCATAGCAGCTAACTTCTGGCTTTAGCATAGCTGTTTGACGAAATACTTTATAGATAATTACTCCAAATGCCATCCAATTCACCTTGAGAAATATAGATTGATGTTTTAGTTTAGAAAAAAAAAAGCTTTTCCAGTACACATTTACATTATTTTCATAAAACAACAACAACCAACAAATAAGTCCATTTTATGTATTCTTGAGGAGGAAAAGCCACTTTATAAAGCAGCAGTAAGTCTTGCACTTGCGCAAATCAGAAGTATAATCCTTTTTTAATCTCAGCTTTATTAATTTCCTTACAATTAAAAATAGGAAAAGGAAACATAGTACATATAAATTGTATTTATAATTAATAAACATCACAAGGTAGTAAATGGTATGAATAGTGGAAAAATAAAATAAAACTGAAAAACAAAAACAAAACAAAACAAAAAGTATCTGAAAGGGGAAAAAATATCGTATTTTGTCAACTTTTACATAGTGCTGAAACAGTATTTACATCTTTAAACATATTTACATTTTTATTTAAAATATGTCATTCAATTAGGAACGTTTATTTTCTTACCCAACAATGTATAAGCAACTTAGGTGTTGGAAATATCACAATATTTCTATTGTACTTGGGATGAAGCTCTTGCCAAAATTTCAAGGGAGCTATGTAATAAATCTAACTGGTGCTTAATAGCACATATTTAATACAATTTTTATTCTAATATATTGCATTACTGACATTAGCAAATAAGTCAACTGATACAGTTTAAAATCAGGAAAATAGAAATCACAATAATGAAACAGAATGGCACTGTAATTCAATGTGTTTTTTCAAAGCAGTTTTTAAATGTTTAATAAATGAATTGGTAAAGTTATTTGGAGATCAGAAATTCATCCTAAATATAACTATAAAATACAAATATTTATACTGTATTGGGTTTTAATCCAAACCAAATTAGACAAAGGTCAACCTAAAGTATTTTGCATTCCCCTTATTGCCAGAAATACAACACCAATAATAGGATTTATTTATAGAAACTTTGAGTACAGAATATAGACGTATATGAGGATTTTGCAATATGTTTACATTAAAAGTTTCTGTGTCAATCTGGCAATACCTTTCTCTTCATCAAACAATTTAGTAAAAGAAACAGAAAAACAAATGAATATTGTTTCCTCAAATTTGAAAATATTAAAAACTAATAACTGGTTAAAAATGTTATATTTGTTTCACTAGCAACTAGTAAAAGAAAAATATAAAACTTCAGCATTCAGTGAATAATAGTATCCCATATGAGACATATGGGATAACACTATCCCATATGAGACAGGAAGAGCTTCTTCTCTACCAATAATACTTGGGCTATTCTGCAACTATCCCTATCAAATAAACTGCCTGAAAACGAGATTACATTTTGCTTCTCCTTATGAAGTCACAATAGCTACTTCCAGTTATAGGAAAGGGAAAGAATGAACATTTTCTGCTTTCTGAGGCTGGGGTCTTTATAGGAACATATCAAGACTAAAGGTCTTGAAAGCTCCTCAGCAAAGCACATTTTCTGAAAATTATCCTTTATTCCTGATACTAGAGTAAGTAGAAAGGACACTGTTTTTTTTTTCTTCTTCACACCACAAATGATGTTGCAATCTGTGCAGCAGTTATTATGGAAAGCAAATACACATACACACAATATCACAAACCAAACCAAAACTAAGACCAGTTTAAGAACCTAAACTAAGTATCACTTATTTAGAGAGGTGGAAGGACCTTCATCATCTGGAATGTTTTAATTAAGATCTTGCTCCTGAGCATGGAGTTGACCTCAACCATTCCTTCTAGCGCTATGATTTAAATTAGCTATGTTTTCCTTTATCTTGGATTTTAATTTAATGAAAAAGGATATTGCAATGGTTGTATGTTTGAGGTAAACATTGGGGCCATGACAACAATGCCATTCCAAAACTGAGTGCATATCATGTAGAGAAAATAAGAAAGGAAAGGATTAAAATAATATTCTCTGAAATACATTCTAGAACAGGGAGGAGGAAATTATGACTTATCTTATTACTGAACTGTGCCTCTGTGAAATGTCCCTTCACATTGACTATACTTGCTGGGGCAGCTGGGAAATATATTTCATCAACACCTTTTAAGTTTTGGCTTCTGGATGGAGATCATGATGGATTAACATACTTCCGCACTGTGGAGACAATGCTGATGCAAAGATTGGCAGCCAAGGGTTGAGCCCAGGCTGATTGATCTTCTTTGAGACAAGGAGAAAGTTGTGAGATCACTCATTTGAGTTCTGGTTGGTAGTGCCACATGAAAAAATTCACATGATCCTAGGGAACTTGTGGCTAACTTATGAGTAGAGCTCTAGCAGCCGAGGAAGAAAACATCACACTCAGAGCCTTTGATAGGTTGGAAGGAGTATTTAACATTTAAGCAACAGAGATACCTACTTAATTCAGTTCAGAAGGAAAGAGATTTTTAAGAAAGAAACTGAAATTTTTAAACAACACAATCAGTTAATGCAAAAGAAGAAGCCATTGCTCCTTGATGCTGTTTCCACTATTATATTATATTAATCTTATTCAGGTTTCACTTTCAGTCATGAACATGAGAATCCATTTGAACATTTTAATGTAATCCTGGTGCTGGGTCTCCATTCAGGCATTCAAAGGAGCATCTATAGCACTGGTGTCAAACTCGCCACGTCATGTGACATGTAGTGATGTATCATGACTTTTTTCGCATTGCTAGAGCTGGGGTGGGCGCGGCCTCCACATGATGCAATCGGCCCACAGGCCGGCGGTTTGACACCCCTGATCTATAGGTTTGCAGTGGTATATTTGCACTGCTGCAATTTGCTCTATTAGTGATTTTTGCATACTGCATTTCTGGAAAAATCTGATATAAAGCAGCTAAAAGAAGATTATTTAGGTCATGGAAATAACACCATCAACCCATCCTCACATTAACAATAGAAAACTGATAGTCTCTGGTTTACCTGCAACTTAAATGTAAAATGTAAACCGATCACAATGTACATTAGATTTAAAATTAGACTTTATATTTATGTTCCATTTTTCATATTTAGGTAAATATGTACAAATCTCAAAATCCAAACTTTTTTTAATTAGAAAAATATATACTGTATTTTCAGGCGTATAAGGTGACACGGTGTATAAGACGACCCCCAACTTCGGCGCCAATTTCCATGCCTAGAAAGTCGTCTTATCCACTAGAAACTACCGTAATTTCTGGCATATAAGACAACTCAGCATATAAAATGACCTCTGACTTTGGTGCCGATTTCTGTGGTTTAGAAAGTTGTCTTATATGCCAGAAAATATGGTATATTCCCTTTTATTAATGAAAATACCTGTGATGAGGGGGGGCGGATAGAATATTATGTCAACAACACAGGAAGTACAGAATGAAGGGAGAGAAGTTTGTTTCTTGCTGAATAATAAGATAAGATACCAGACTATTGATTAGTAGCTGAATACATGAAGAGATAATATAAAGATATAATAATGTGCTATACTAGTAGCACACTCTTTATGGGAATTTTTTAATGCTAAAAGATTATGTTGATTTTATTCATCCTCAATATTCATTATCCTTTTCTGGTTTTCATTGTTCAATGTTCTTCTATCATTTTATTTTGTTTTATTATTTTTTGTGATAATAAAGCATGACAGTTAGTCCAATAAGAATGTGTATTCTTAGGAGGGAATCAAAATGGAAGGCCAAGTAACCCTATTTGAATGAAGAACTCCTAAGGAAGATTAAGAAACATTTCCCAGACTGATATAGAAATGGATAGATATTTAGCACCACACAGTACAAGAATTCCTCTTTGCTGGAGTATGGTGGGAAAGGATGGAAAACATTTCATAAACAGAGAAAGGACTGCATGTAAATTCTCATATATAAGAATCAGAATTCAGATGATTTCTACTTAAAATATCCAACTTCTTTCCAGTTGTAATTATTATGGCCCCCAGAGAGAAGAAAGCCGGCTGTGGGTTTGAATTCGTATTGGTTTATGAAATCTTTCAAACTTCTTGACCCCTATGGTATTTACCAAGACAAAGCTGTCCATATTTTGGTTTATATGCTTTGGGTTATTTGATTCAGCAGCTTTCGTGTAAACAACAATAAAATAAAGTATCTTTTAAATGAAAGGTTATTGAACGCTACAGTATATAAATAAATCCTCCAGTGTATTAACTCTGTAGTGGCTGTTTTCTGATGGAGAGAACAGCAAGTACAAATCTTTTTAATTCTAAGTTCCTCTGGAGAGAAACAGAAAGCCACACGATATCCTAGTGTGTTAGATTTTGCATTAGGATCCATGACTGAGTTGTAAGACAGCCAGACAGCTACATATTGAGATCACATCTAAGGAATACAAGGCATTTTGTCTTTTATTGGCAGTTTGCTTAAACAGCTGGCTTTGAATGCATTTCTTGCCTTATGTTGGCATACAGGAAAAAGAACTGAATTTTGATTTGCCCAGCCATAGACTTTGTTATGATTTTTTTTTAAAGGCCCAGAAGCATTTAGTTCATTTTCTGAAGCCATTTTCCCTAGGCATTAAAAACCCCCACATATATAGGATATATTGCATCATCTCAGATCCAATAGAAAGACACTTTTTCCTGTCTATTAATAAGGATTAAGGGATGCTGGGAGGAGGTGTATTCAGGCAAAAAATGGTAGAATGTCTTAGGCTGACGAAAAGACATTGCATCCTATCTCAGTAACTGAGATAAAGGGTGGAACTAGGAAAGTAAAGTTCTAAGTGAGAGATAAGTTAGAAAGAAGAGAAATGAATGAGGGGTTAAATAAAATATGTCATTCTTGGAAAAGATAGAATGCTGCATTACAGGAGAAATGAACAAAAGTTTTTTTTTCTCTGTTGGTGTCTCTGCTTTGTTTCCCCTTTCAGTACACAAATTATTCCTATTCTGCTTTAATCTGCCCATTGACCTTAGGATGGTTTATAGGCAAATAAAAATAAATTAATAATTTCACATTAAATGAGAAATAAAGCAATATTGCAAAGATCTTTTTCCCTCCA